TCTCTTCTAGCTTAGTGATAAAGCTATGGTGCGTAAAACCAGAGACCCGGGCTCGATTCCCGGCGAGAACGTGACAGTAGTATCAATTTTTCCTCTATAATTTGAGGTTATCTGTAGTGGTAAAACTTAATTCAAAAATTAATTCACTTCAATGTATTGGAAAGCCTACAAAAATTCGTCTAAAATTCTCATTTTTATTTTGTTACCGCAACTAAGCAAATTTATTTAATGTTTCATTAAATTAAAAAATTGGTTGTGACAAAAAAGAATTCAGTGTTGGTTTTTATTGCAATAATAATTCGAGAAGGGTNTAGTACAATGCTACATTTAGTGCAATTCATTATGCTCAACAAGGTCCATTTAAATAGTTGAGCATAATGAATTCCACTAAATGTAGCATTGTAATACAAATGGAGTTTACCGCGCCATTTGTGGTATTTTACACGTTTTTAGTAGCTGCAAAATAAACTAAGTAGTGAAATAGAAAACAAGAACAGTTAATGTTATTTGAAGGAAAGCATAACTATAAATTAACAACCGAAGCCCCCCCCCTCCAAAGAAGAGTCAGGGTGAAAACTAGTGGATCTAGCTGTCCTCCCTCCCCTCATTTTCTGCCAAATAAATATTGAGGAGGACGAGATAAAAGCGAAATCAAAGCTTTCTACTATTAGAGGACCCCGCTAGATTTCTACGGGAAATGACTCTCTGTCAAACTCGTTGAAACTTTGGCTTCTGATAGTTCTCGACGTCTATATCAAAAGTCTCAAAGTCGTAAAAGCTCATCGTTTTGAGTTAAAAGTTGCATTGTTCTGTAAAGACTTCCAATGTGCAATTATACGCTCAAGAATGTATGCATACGTTGAGTATTATACCTATGTATTTTGCATTAATATAAACATTAATTATTAGCGCTGCATACAACTATAAACAAGCAACTTTCATTTCCCTTAAGTACACTGTGACGTTGAGGTGTGCTACAGTTTTGCAGAGCGTATTACCATCCCTGGTCCGAAACCTTGTCACAGCATAAGATAGATAAGGATGTTTTTTGAATATTGCAGTTCCTCCTCAAATGCCTAAAATTGAATTTAACACGTCTCAAATTTTGCCTGGACAAAATTTAACGGTAATGCAGGGTGAAATTGCAACCGTTAAGTGTATATCTAACTATGGGAATCCTCCGCCGGTTCTAAAATGGCTTTTGGGTAAGTAAGTTTAACAGCTTTAAGTTAAACGAACCCTTTACCGTCTAGCACAAAGTTACTTATTGTATCCACGTATGTACAATATATACATACTTACATGCATATACCTAACACACTAGCTGTATGATGTCTCCTTTTTAGACCTCGATGAAATTAGGTCACCTCGTAAACAAACCAACTCGACAGAATTAGACAATCCGAAGACTTGGATGGCAACATCACTTTTAGAACTTGCTATCACGAAAGACAGTCATGGACGTTTGCTGAAATGCGTCGCATACCATGAATCTTATCCTTCCAAATCCGCAAGTACTGAAGTTCGACTAAATGTTATGTGTACGTAAAAACATACTATATTACGTAGTTGAAGTGAAACTTCTTTAGGCTCGATGGCAGTAAAATCTCAAGGCCATGAAACGACACGTTTTGCAACGTTTCGTCTCGCGACGCGATGTGCTATGAGAATAGAATGGCGCACATGCGCATATCGGTATTACAGTCAGCTGTCAGTGACTGACATCTCATATATTATTGTATACTGTATATTCACTTTACTATAGTGCTAAATTAATGTTTTAGTTATATCTGTGCAGTTATATTGCAGTAAGTGTATTGCAGTAAATGTTTATTTAACAACAATTATACTTCGTTTACTGTCTCTAGCGATGTGCCCCTTCCAATGTCTTGAATGCGCACTGGCAAAATTGGAGGTAGGGAGAAAAAAGTACATTATACCCTCGACGCTTGTACATTAAACATACTTTTTCGTACAGTACTTGCCAAAAAAATTGTTCAATCATGAAAAGTAGTGCGTGTCGAAAGCAAGGTTTTAAAACCTTTAATATGTCTTCAAATATAAATACACATCTCGTTGATATATTCAGTAGTAATTGGTACCAATAACAGCACATTCAAGCAATGCAATTTTAGTGGATAAAATGGTTAGTTTTTCCGTGCAGTACTGTACGAATTATACGCTCCACACCAGTTGAGAATTTGGCCGAGAGTTGTCTCCTTCCTTTTCTGGCCTAGTGCTGTTCTTTTCTACTTTGCGCCCGTCAAGTTAAAAGTCACATCGCTACAACTAAACGAAGTATAATATTTATTTAAGAGTTAGTATTATTAGGTATTAATTCTAATTCCTTGTAGTTATTGATAGTTTATGGTTTTTTAAGCACTTGGAAATATGAACGGAAGCGAAAAAAATTTAACCTTTTTTTTGTTATTGAATTACATAAAAACGTATTAAAAATATACTCCTTAGGTGGACTAAAAATAAACTATGCAGGAAAACATAAATCCTGAAAATTCTCGTACTCTCTCTTTCACCAATGATTACTTATTCCTTATAAAGGTATAGAGATCGCCAAAGAAGTTTCACTTCTTTCACGTGTACTGAGTTGCACCTGTTTTATTTTTTAAAGCTTTACTTTAAACGATCAGCAGCGAAATATCCGAAAAATAATCGACACTAAAGCACATTTAATAGTTCTAAATTGAACGAGCAGTAACTGCTACGAAAATGGTTAGAATTCAGTAATCTCACTACGAACAGCAAAATAAAATCCTAAAGGTTATACGTGATTGGCGCAACATTGCTCACTTTTTATTACACTTTGTCCGGCATTAACACTAATAATGGTTGTACAAAATGATCAATAGTCAAACACGTTTTCAGTATCGAATAAACAAATTCGAAGTGGTCAATATTCTGCCGAAACTGCCAGACGCGGATCGCGATTTCGATCTTTTTGGATCTCATGAGCGCGTCGCAGACAGTTTCGACAGAACACAGACCAACCTTTACCTGCTGTCAGCAGTGCGTTTTATAAAATACCACAAATGGCGCGGTAAGCGCCATCTGTAGTACAATGCTACATTTAGTGCAATTCATTATGCTCAACAAGGTCCATTTAAATAGTTGAGCATAATGAATTCCACTAAATGTAGCATTGTAATACAAATGGAGTTTACCGCGCCATTTGTGGTATTTTACACGTTTTTAGTAGCTGCAAAATAAACTAAGTAGTGAAATAGAAAACAAGAACAGTTAATGTTATTTGAAGGAAAGCATAACTATAAATTAACAACCGAAGCCCCCCCCCTCCAAAGAAGAGTCAGGGTGAAAACTAGTGGATCTAGCTGTCCTCCCTCCCCTCATTTTCTGCCAAATAAATATTGAGGAGGACGAGATAAAAGCGAAATCAAAGCTTTCTACTATTAGAGGACCCCGCTAGATTTCTACGGGAAATGACTCTCTGTCAAACTCGTTGAAACTTTGGCTTCTGATAGTTCTCGACGTCTATATCAAAAGTCTCAAAGTCGTAAAAGCTCATCGTTTTGAGTTAAAAGTTGCATTGTTCTGTAAAGACTTCCAATGTGCAATTATACGCTCAAGAATGTATGCATACGTTGAGTATTATACCTATGTATTTTGCATTAATATAAACATTAATTATTAGCGCTGCATACAACTATAAACAAGCAACTTTCATTTCCCTTAAGTACACTGTGACGTTGAGGTGTGCTACAGTTTTGCAGAGCGTATTACCATCCCTGGTCCGAAACCTTGTCGCAGCCATAATATGCAATACATAATATTGGTATAATACATAAAAATGCAATAGAGTGACCCAAAAAAACAAAGAATTTTTCTTTTAGAGTCTCCTATGAACATATGTAAGATTATCTTGTTTTAAGAGCCCCCTCCAGCTGGACATTTCATTTTTAAATCTGAAAATTTTTAAAAAAATCCAAAATGGTCGAAGATTGATTTTTTTATTTTCTTTTTTTTCTCGTTGTTTCACTATTTCCAACAATAAAAATGATAAAGATCCTGAAAATTTCGTCGATATTTTGATTTTTTGTTTTGAAGTTGACATTTGAAAGAATAAAAATAAGGCAAGAGAAACGCAAAAAAAAATTAGAAACGATATTAGTGAAAAAAAAAATAAAAAGGTTAATATTCGTCTTCATATGTCGCTCGAAAACATCTAAAGTACTCTACGTGGAAATTTAAAAAAATATTAAGCAACCTTTAGATATCAAAATATCGACTAGAAATTTTAAGGATCTTTATAATTTTTATTGTAAGAAACAGTGAAAGAAGAAGAAAAAAAATTAAAAAATCGGTTTTCGACGATTTTGATCGACCTTAAAAATTTTTTTTGAAATGTCCTTTCGAACAGCTCTTAAAAGATGATAAACTAACAAATTTACGTTTGTTCGTTTTTTAAGTCACCCTAATATGCATATATAGGTACTTTAACGTATTTAATCCGTATAATAGATAAATAATAGGTATAGTTGTACTTTGGAAGTCCTTATACATACAGAAAAATGCAACTTTAAGTANATTTAAATGGACCTTGTTGGAGCATACGTAATCCTAAAATGTAGCATCGTACTACAGATGGCGTTTACCGCGCCATTTGTGGTATTTTCTAAAACGCACTGTTAAGACAGCAGGTAAAAGTTGGTCTGTGTTCTATTGGAGCTGCCTGCGACGCGCTGATGAGATCCAAAAAGATCGAAATTGCGATCCGCGTCTGGCAGTTTCGACAGAACACAGACAACTTCGAATTATTTTATTCGAATTATTTTAATTCTCAAATTGTTTGATTTAATTTTTGATTTTAATCTTGAATCATGTTTCACCAGGTGATAACGGCAGATACCATTAAGTTATGGATACCTATTATTTTTTTTGTCACTATATGTACCTCTATTATTATTATCATAAGATAGATAAGGATGTTTTTTGAATATTGCAGTTCCTCCTCAAATGCCTAAAATTGAATTTAACACGTCTCAAATTTTGCCTGGACAAAATTTAACGGTAATGCAGGGTGAAATTGCAACCGTTAAGTGTATATCTAACTATGGGAATCCTCCGCCGGTTCTAAAATGGCTTTTGGGTAAGTAAGTTTAACAGCTTTAAGTTAAACGAACCCTTTACCGTCTAGCACAAAGTTACTTATTGTGTCCACGTATGTACAATATATACATACTTACATGCATATACCTAACACACTAGCTGTATGATGTCTCCTTTTTAGACCTCGATGAAATTAGGTCACCTCGTAAACAAACCAACTCGACAGAATTAGACAATCCGAAGACTTGGATGGCAACATCACTTTTAGAACTTGCTATCACGAAAGACAGTCATGGACGTTTGCTGAAATGCGTCGCATACCATGAATCTTATCCTTCCAAATCCGCAAGTACTGAAGTTCGACTAAATGTTATGTGTACGTAATAACATACTATATACGTAGTTGAAGTGAAACTTCTTTGGGCTCGATAGGAGTAAAATCTCAAGGCCATGAAACGACACGTTTTGCAACGTTTCGTCTCGCGACGCGATGTGCTATGAGAATAGAATGGCGCACATGCGCATATCGGTATTACAGTCAGCTGTCAGTGACTGACATCTCATATATTATTGTATACTGTATATTCACTTTACTATAGTGCTAAATTAAAGTTTTGGTTATATCTGTGCAGTTATATTGCAGTAAGTGTATTGCAGTAAATGTTTATTTAACAACAATTATACTTCGTTTACTGTCTCTAGCGATGTGCCCCATCCAATGTCTTGAATGCTCACTGGCAAAATTGGAGGTAGGGAGAAAAAAGCACATTATACCCTCGACGCTTGTACATTAAACATACTTTTTCGTACAGTACTTGCCAAAAAAAATTGTTCAATCATGAAAAGTAGTGCGTGTCGAAAGCAAGGTTTAAAACCTTTAATATGTCTTCAAATATAAATAAACATCTCGTTGATGTATTCAGTAGTAATTGGTACCAATAACAGCACATTCAAGCAATGCAATTTTAGTGGATAAAATGGTCAATTTTTCCGTGCAGTACTGTACGAATTATACGCTCCACACCAGTTGAGAATTTGGCCGAGAGTTGTCTCCTTCCTTTTCTGGCCTAGTGCTGTTCTTTTCTACTTTGCGCCCGTCAAGTTAAAAGTCACATCGCTACAACTAAACGAAGTATAATATTTATTTAAGAGTTAGTATTATTAGGTATTAATTCTAATTCCTTGTAGTTATTGATAGTTTACGGTTTTTTAAGCACTTAAAAATAAAATATGCAGGAAAACATAAATCCTGAAAATTCTCGTACTCTCTCTTTCACCAATGATTACTTATTCCTTATAAAGGTATAGAGATCGCCAAAGAAGTTTCACTTCTTTCACGTGTACTGAGTTGCACCTGTTTTATTTTTTAAAGCTTTACTTTAAACGATCAGCAGCGAAATATCCGAAAAATAATCGACACTAAAGCACATTTAATAGTTCTAAATTGAACGAGCAGTAACTGCTACGAAAATGGTTAGAATTCAGTAATCTCACTACGAACAGCAAAATAAAATCCTAAAGGTTATACGTGATTGGCGCAACATTGCTCACTTTTTATTACACTTTGTCCGGCATTAACACTAATAATGGTTGTACAAAATGATCAATAGTCAAACACGTTTTCAGTATCGAATAAACAAATTCGAAGTGGTCAATATTCTGCCGAAACTGCCAGACGCGGATCGCGATTTCGATCTTTTTGGATCTCATGAGCGCGTCGCAGACAGTTTCGACAGAACACAGACCAACCTTTACCTGCTGTCAGCAGTGCGTTTTATAAAATACCACAAATGGCGCGGTAAGCGCCATCTGTAGTACAATGCTACATTTAGTGCAATTCATTATGCTCAACAAGGTCCATTTAAATAGTTGAGCATAATGAATTCCACTAAATGTAGCATTGTAATACAAATGGAGTTTACCGCGCCATTTGTGGTATTTTACACGTTTTTAGTAGCTGCAAAATAAACTAAGTAGTGAAATAGAAAACAAGAACAGTTAATGTTATTTGAAGGAAAGCATAACTATAAATTAACAACCGAAGCCCCCCCCCTCCAAAGAAGAGTCAGGGTGAAAACTAGTGGATCTAGCTGTCCTCCCTCCCCTCATTTTCTGCCAAATAAATATTGAGGAGGACGAGATAAAAGCGAAATCAAAGCTTTCTACTATTAGAGGACCCCGCTAGATTTCTACGGGAAATGACTCTCTGTCAAACTCGTTGAAACTTTGGCTTCTGATAGTTCTCGACGTCTATATCAAAAGTCTCAAAGTCGTAAAAGCTCATCGTTTTGAGTTAAAAGTTGCATTGTTCTGTAAAGACTTCCAATGTGCAATTATACGCTCAAGAATGTATGCATACGTTGAGTATTATACCTATGTATTTTGCATTAATATAAACATTAATTATTAGCGCTGCATACAACTATAAACAAGCAACTTTCATTTCCCTTAAGTACACTGTGACGTTGAGGTGTGCTACAGTTTTGCAGAGCGTATTACCATCCCTGGTCCGAAACCTTGTCGCAGCCATAATATGCAATACATAATATTGGTATAATACATAAAAATGCAATAGAGTGACCCAAAAAAACAAAGAATTTTTCTTTTAGAGTCTCCTATGAACATATGTAAGATTATCTTGTTTTAAGAGCCCCCTCCAGCTGGACATTTCATTTTTAAATCTGAAAATTTTTAAAAAAATCCAAAATGGTCGAAGATTGATTTTTTTATTTTCTTTTTTTTCTCGTTGTTTCACTATTTCCAACAATAAAAATGATAAAGATCCTGAAAATTTCGTCGATATTTTGATTTTTTGTTTTGAAGTTGACATTTGAAAGAATAAAAATAAGGCAAGAGAAACGCAAAAAAAAATTAGANTGAATTCCACTAAATGTAGCATTGTAATACAAATGGAGTTTACCGCGCCATTTGTGGTATTTTACACGTTTTTAGTAGCTGCAAAATAAACTAAGTAGTGAAATAGAAAACAAGAACAGTTAATGTTATTTGAAGGAAAGCATAACTATAAATTAACAACCGAAGCCCCCCCCCTCCAAAGAAGAGTCAGGGTGAAAACTAGTGGATCTAGCTGTCCTCCCTCCCCTCATTTTCTGCCAAATAAATATTGAGGAGGACGAGATAAAAGCGAAATCAAAGCTTTCTACTATTAGAGGACCCCGCTAGATTTCTACGGGAAATGACTCTCTGTCAAACTCGTTGAAACTTTGGCTTCTGATAGTTCTCGACGTCTATATCAAAAGTCTCAAAGTCGTAAAAGCTCATCGTTTTGAGTTAAAAGTTGCATTGTTCTGTAAAGACTTCCAATGTGCAATTATACGCTCAAGAATGTATGCATACGTTGAGTATTATACCTATGTATTTTGCATTAATATAAACATTAATTATTAGCGCTGCATACAACTATAAACAAGCAACTTTCATTTCCCTTAAGTACACTGTGACGTTGAGGTGTGCTACAGTTTTGCAGAGCGTATTACCATCCCTGGTCCGAAACCTTGTCACAGCCATAATATGCAATACATAATATTGGTATAATACATAAAAATGCAATAGAGTGACCCAAAAAAACAAAGAATTTTTCTTTTAGAGTCTCCTATGAACATATGTAAGATTATCTTGTTTTAAGAGCCCCCTCCAGCTGGACATTTCATTTTTAAATCTGAAAATTTTTAAAAAAATCCAAAATGGTCGAAGATTGATTTTTTTATTTTCTTTTTTTTCTCGTTGTTTCACTATTTCCAACAATAAAAATGATAAAGATCCTGAAAATTTCGTCGATATTTTGATTTTTTGTTTTGAAGTTGACATTTGAAAGAATAAAAATAAGGCAAGAGAAACGCAAAAAAAAATTAGAAACGATATTAGTGAAAAAAAAAATAAAAAGGTTAATATTCGTCTTCATATGTCGCTCGAAAACATCTAAAGTACTCTACGTGGAAATTTAAAAAAATATTAAGCAACCTTTAGATATCAAAATATCGACTTGAAGGATCTTTATAATTTTTATTGTAAGAAACAGTGAAAGAAGAAGAAAAAAAATTAAAAAATCGGTTTTCGACGATTTTGATCGACCTTAAAAATTTTTTTTGAAATGTCCTTTCGAACAGCTCTTAAAAGATGATAAACTAACAAATTTACGTTTGTTCGTTTTTTAAGTCACCCTAATATGCATATATAGGTACTTTAACGTATTTAATCCGTATAATAGATAAATAATAGGTATAGTTGTACTTTGGAAGTCCTTATACATACAGAAAAATGCAACTTTAAGTAATCTTATCTAAGTGAACATATTTCGTAAAGATGACTCTATGACTTAGCGTCCATTTTGAGACGTTCGATCTACACGACGACAAGTACAAGAATCCAATTTAATCTTAGTATCAAGAGTATAACAGAGAGCCACTTTCCGTATGGATCTAGCGAGGTCCATTACGTTTAAGTATGCCAATATAATTGGACAAAAGCGGGATTATAATTTAAAAAAAAATACAGGTAAATGTCTCGAAAGATGTCACCATGACAAAACTCACTTCTTACCATAACTATTCAGCTAAAGTGCTGAAGGTTACGATACGAGTGAATACGTTGAAACTAAATCAATTGTAATCAAGTTGATACCTGCCATACGTTTAGTTCCGCTTTTGTTCTGGTCTCTCTTTGTCCAGGTCCGCTTTTGTCCATGATTCAGAAAAAATGAGTTGGGCGGAATCTGTCTGCAACAGTTGTAAAGCATTCCTAACAACATAAATGAATAAAAACCCTGGAATGTTTTCACAAATTTTTTTATTACCTCGAATGTACTAAAAGTATCTACCATTTATCATTTATCCCCAACTGTGAAATCGTAAGGGGAAAAGTGGAAGGAATTCTAAAGGATTACAGTTTACATGTTGAGTGGAGAAGTAAATATAACTGTTAAGCGATTTTTTAACTTCAAAATATGTTTTTGCCTTTAGAAATATTAAAATACGTAATTTTGGATTCAACGAAACTTCCGCCATTCTCTCCAACTTTCTCTATACGATTTTAGTTAAGATTTTATTTGCTGTTCGTTTAATAGCAATTTCTTAGACCAACTAACAATTTTATTGCACAAAAATTGCTAGACAACTGTGAGTTTATATTTTTCATAATTTGCTGTTCGTATTTTAAAATTACAAGCAAAATTTCTTTGCAAGTAGCAAATTTACATGACAGATCATTTAATAATTTATTTAACAATAGAATACACAACAATTAGTTTATCACAAAAGTTCATTATTGTTAGCACACACTATGAAAAAATACAATAAACTTAAAAATACAAAATTGTAGGTATCTATTTCTATGTTTATTCTTCCATTTGAGAAAACCACTGTGGGATTAAGTAATTGTAATAGTAAACAAATAAAGATGTTAATTAAAACTCAATAGTAAGTACAAAACTAAAATGTTTGTAATGAATTATGGTAATGTAAATGCTAGATTTCTCTTTTCTGGTTTTGCTCTAAGTTTAATGGGTCTTGAACTTGGCCAAACTTTTTTTCTCGTTTTATAGAAAGATTTAAAATCGCAATTTAGTACGCAGTACTTACACAGATCCTGTAATTCATCTTCATTTGATACACCGGCGTCATCATTTTTTTCAGTTGTTCCAGAAACGCGATTGATCGGCGTCCCTGCAACAGATATCGAGGAATTTATAGACACAGTTGCAATTCGCTGTCAAGTGAACGCTAATCCTCGGGCTAACGTAGTTTGGAAAAAGGAAGGCTTGTCGCAACCGGTTAGCCTTCAGGAATTACTCAAATTCAGTCCTGTCACTCGACAAAACTCCGGCCTTTACACATGTCATGCCCGAAACGCTGCAGGAGAGGCTCCACCCTTAAGATTTAATCTTAGTATCAAATGTATATACACATTCATATCAAATATCTCGAAACATTTGTCAGATCGATCGTCATTTTAGATCCTCCAAAGATTCTTAGCGTTGGCCCGGATCGTTTAACAACGTCTCCCCTTTACACGTCTGCAACTTTCGAATGCATAGCCGAAGGGAATCCTCTTCCCACTTATCAGTGGTTACAAAGATTACCAACGCGACCTAATTACGTCAGGGAGCAAGGGAGAGAAGCAAAGCTGCACATTTCCAATGTTACGTACGATCATCAGGGAGAATACGTTTGTAAAGCTGTGAACATTATAGGAGGAATGGAAAGAGAAGTTCAAAGTGAATCCGTTGTACTTCAGGTTGTCGGTTAGTAAAATCGATGTAATCATCACGTTCAAAAAATTGAAATGTTTTCTTTCTGTTTTCTTTTAGGAGCGCCACAAATATTAAAATTTTTACTCCTCAACGAAATTGAAATCGAAAGGGGTGATACAGCCAATATAAGTCTGATAATATGCTCAGATCCTAGGCCGAAATTTGTGGCTTGGGAATGGGGTTCCTTGCAGTTAGAAGCCGGATCACAAATTGGTCGGTACCTAACTTAATAACTAAACCTAACCTAACTTAATCTAACCTTATGTAACCTATCCACACCCTTTATCCAACTTTATATATAGAGTAGCCCAACGATAATTAATCTGACTGTTAATGCTGGAGTTGAGAAAACATTAATCTTCCACCAACACTCGATCTTCGAAAACAAATAACAAAAACAGACTAAAAAAATAATTCGAAGTGGTCTGTATTCTGTCGAAACTGCCAGACGCGGATCACGATTTTGATCTTTTTGGATCTCATCAGCGCGTCGTAGACAGCTCCTACAGAACACAGACCAACTTTCATCTGCTGCCTTAATAGCGCGTTTTAGAAAATATAACAAGTGGCGCGGTAAACGCCATCTGTACGATTTAAATGGACCTTGTTGGAGCATACGTAATCCTAGTATGTAGCATCGTACTGCAGATGGCGTTTACAGCGCGACTTGTGGTATTGTCCAGAAACAGATTAAATTAAACAACTAAATATAAAAGTTTTAAATATTGCGAATTAAGAAGTTCTGAATTATTGTGCTGTTATGTCCAAGTTCTGAAAAAGTTCTGTCTAAAATTTTATTCTAAAATAAGCATAAGGAACAGCCCACCTTTTCGGATAATGTACGTGTATTTTCCAGGGTAATGGTTGACACACAAGGTTTATTGCCTGTAGGTACACATTTCTAGACTGATTCTCAGATGAATTAATGTTTGGATTTTCCCGTCGAGAAAGCTAAAAATTGAAAAATATTCTAGCTTGGATACCATCTAGACTTGGGAATTGTAGTTCAATTCACTGACGTAGTTCAATAAATCTTCTTCAATGAAGTGAACTAAATCACTAGTCTAGTTCAGTAGTTCATTTAGTTCAATTCTCATAATGTATTAATACATGTATTTTGAACTCATGTCTTTTCAATCACAAAATATAAAATTTCTTATAATTCTGACCAACTCACTCACTTAAGGCCTTGCAGAACCCTGTACAAACCAATCAAATTATAAGAAACATCGCCCACCTACTAATAGAAGCTGATGGCCAAGAAATTGAAAAATATTCTAGCTTGGATACCATCTAGACTTGGGAATTGTAGTTCAATTCACTGACGTAGTTCAATAAATCTTCCTCAATGAAGTGAACTAAATCACTAGTCTAGTTCAGTAGTTCATTTAGTTCAATTCTCAGAATGTATTAATACATGTATTTTGAACTCATGTCTTTTCAATACCATCTATTTTCAATTGATTTTACTCATGTATTTTCAAATTTCCCAAAGTCCCCATTTTCCACTTCTCAAGCAAAAGCAAATTATACGTTTTATATTCAAAATTGTCGCGTAACTACTGCGCAAAGATTTACGCAGTTTTTTCTGATTGGTCTGTGACTGCCACAAAATGGGAATGGAGGAGAGTTGAAATAGGTTGAAAATACATGAGTCCTACTGTACAAGATGTGAACCACTGAACTATAATTCTTTCAATTGCTGAACTACTTCACTCGGCTGGGTTCTTGTGAACGACTCGTTCATGAGTTACACAAGTCTAATACCATCTCACTCTGGCTTCCATGGGAACGACAAAACAGACGAACTTGTCAAAAAAGGCGCTAACCAAACCAGAGGCTAGACGAAAAATTAAGAAAAATGTCATTGAGAAATTGAACAGCATCTGGTTAGAAAATTCTCCCAAAAAATTACAACGGATTAGGTGTCTTCGAAAAATTTCCAAATTCAAATCTCAAACGTAGAGAGGAGGTAATCACACAATGACCACTCGAATAGGCCACTCCAATCTAACTCATGTACACTTGTAATATGAACAGCTTCGAATCAGTTGAACACATTATCAATGACTGCTCTGGACTGAGTGCACAAAGAAGGACACATAGTGTTGCTGCATCATTTAGTGAGAATATGAATAACCCAAAACAATATAAAACTGTACTCGATAGTCCAGTGGGTAGAGAATTTTCCCGATGTAAATTTTTTATCGGACGGGAATTGTTCCTTGTTGTAGGCGGTGAAAGTTAAGCATCCCTGTATATCTTTAAACTTCGAAAAAGTGTGCGTTAACAAATGCGGGAGGTCCAAAGTTGGCAAAAACCCGGTTTTTGGACATAGAAGGCAAGGTATGCTTCCTAGAAAGAAAAGTTTTAAATAAACATTGTAGAGAAATTAAAAACCTTTAATTTGAGCTGCAGTCCGATTAATTTTGTCAATTAATTATTTATTGTAGAAATCCCAAAAAGTCTTAAAAACATTGCCATTCCTTGGTTAAAGATTGTTTATTGTAAAAATTAGCTTTTTAATGATTTTATCACATTGAAATGATGGTTTTTAAATTTGAAATCGAAAAATGTAAATTCGGTTCCTGTTGGTCGCGGAAGATTCGTTTTGCTCTTTTAATGTTTACTTGGAAGCTACCTTTTCATATGCTTCAGTTAAAAATCCGTACGTTGCGTATAAATCACTCCAGCTCTAATTGTTTATAAATAAAAATGACACCCTTCTTTGCAGCAATAAATAAGGGGTTAAAAATGAATTTTTTCATTTGCCCCTGACGGAAAATGAAGATCTGAGCCTTTACGAAGAGATATGTGTAACTGAAAATGTTTGCCCGAAAAAAAGTTATGACAGTAATTGTTCGTGGCTGTTGGGATAAACAATTAACAATATCTCACTAACAAATTGACCAATTTAATGTCACAAAATCATTAAAAAGGTCATTTTTGTAATAAACAATCAATATGCAAGATATGGCATTTTTTACAGTTTTTTAGGATTTCTGTAATAACTAATTGACAAAATTAATCAGATCGCGGCTCAAAGTAAAGGTTTTTAATTTCTCTACAATTTTTATTTGAAACTTTTCTTTCTAAAAAGCGTACCTTGTCTTCTAGGTCTAAAAACGAGGTTTTTGCCAAATTTGGACCTCCCCCATTTGTTAACGCACACTTTTCAAAGTTTAAAAATATACAGGAATTCTTTTCTCCAGCTACAACGAGGAACAACTCCCGTCTGGTAAGAAATATACGAGGCGGTTCAATAAGTACCCGTGTTTAAAGACAGAGGATGTTGTCATCGTGTGCTGCCATTTATCAAACCACGCCAAAACGAATTTGAGACTGATTGATAGGTTAGTTTGATTAGGCAGCCATTCGACTGAGACGTGTTTCGTTATTTATCGCTAAGATGGAAAAAGAGCAGTATCGTTCGGTAACTCGCTTTTTGTTTTCGGATGGGAAAAAATGCGAGGAGATGAAAACAAAGTTGGATACTGTTTATGGAGATATTTTGCCATCTACGACCACAGTTAGATATTGCTTCAACGAATTTAAACGTGGGCAAAGATCCGTTTTTGATAGGAGCGACCAGGAAGCCTGGCAAACGTTGTTACCGAGGAAATTATTTTACGGATTTTTTAGGAAAAGGAAGAACGATCACTGGACAATACTACAGTAAGAAGGTGCGTTTTCAACACGATAACGCACCGGCACATTCATCAGGAGTTACTGCCGCCAAACTGCATCAATTACGTTATGAATTTGCTGCCGCACACCCCGTACTCACTCGATTTGACTCCCTGTGACTTCGTCTTGTTCCCTACCATGAAGAAATGACGAGCGAGAAAGAAATTTAGCTCAAACGAGGAAATCATCGTCGAGACAGGGGGGATTTTGGAGAGTTCGACAAATCTTATTTTTTGGAGGGGTAAAAAAATGGCAGGGTCGTTGGGAGAAGTNCTGGACATTTCATTTTTAAATCTGAAAATTTTTAAAAAAAGGTGTCTTCATTTCTAACACGGGTACTTATTGAACCGCCCTCGTATGTCGATAAAATTCTCAACCGACTGGACTACATGACTTAGAAGTTAAAGCGACTTAAAAGTGTTATATAAAAAAAAATTGCTACGCCTACCAGGCTTTAACACTGACCTATCCAACCTAACCTAATCCAACTTCATATGCAGACTTACTTTTTGTTAATGGAACAACTTTTTCGTTGTTTCATTTTTGGACTACTTAAACGCACTGGTCTGTTCTGTTCTTACGTTGCTTTTGATGCAGGGAAATATAAAGCGGACGAATTAATTCAGGATCTTCGAGAAGACTGTTATATTTCTGTTTTACACATCCAAGACGCGGATGCAACAGATTCACGAGCTTATCACTTAATGGCAGAAAATGATCGGGGAAAAGACAGGCATACTGTCAAACTTTTTGTTAATGGTAAGTGTATTTAAACGAACTGGTGATATTTCATTGATTTCTCTAAAATTGCCATACTTTTCAGAACCGTTTCGCATCAATACGGTATTAATTTTTGCATGTGGAATTACGACTGCATTGTTATTGTTAATCTGTGTTTGTCTTTACACTTTACGAACGGAAAACTGCTGCCCCACAAGTGAGATTTATTCTATTATTTTAATTATTATTATTAATTATTATATATGCGTATTAATGATTAATAATCACTATGTAATGTATATTTTATTGTTAGGATTTTTGAATTATTTACATACTTTACTATTTCAGAGAAAAATAATTATAAGGAGAACAACTTAAACGGGTAAGTACTTTTTTTTAATTTAAAGAAACTGTTTTTTCATGGAACACATATAAAACACATGTATATACAGAATGTGCCAAAAGTAACAAGACCAGCGTATTACTAAACAAAAACCAATCGATCAGTTTGTACGTCACGAAAATCAAGTCGAAGACATTTCCCACTTTTTCTGACTATGTTTCAAGTATCATCCCAAAATCGGTGTCCCAAACGTATAATTACAATATTACAATTAAAAAATTATTTTTTCTGTGATGTAACTACATATTTATGGTTTTCGGATTTTTTCCTTTATTTGTGCTACAAAACATTGCTTTGCCAATAGGCCCCGCTACAACCTTACGAAAAATGGCCCTCTGTCAAACTCTGAAAATTGGGATTCTGGCGGTTCATTCAAACGTCTTAATGGACGCTAAGTCGTAAAAACTCATCTTTTTGAAATATGGTCTCTTAGAGGCAGAAACGGAAGTTAGGAGGGGTAGAGATCGTTGGCGTACCCAGGGGGGCACAGGGTAGAGCAGCTGCCCCCCCTGGAAATCTCTTAGAAAATGGAGAATGAACATTGATGTAGTCAGAGGTGTAATTAGATACCAACATAGAATCAATAGTTTATCATCATCATAAGGGCGTCAGTCCTAAGACTAGATGGACACGCACCCCACTCCTTCCTATCCTGAGCTAATCTTCGCATTTCCTAAAACTAGGACATCTCACATACTTAACTGTTTGCGAACAGTAATCCAATCTTCTTAACCCCTATTTCTGCCTCTAATATGTCTCTGACTAGACCTTCATGCCTGAGAAGCTATCCTACCAACCTATCTCGCCTATTTCTTATTGACTTCCATAGAGTCCTCTGTTCTTCTATTCTTTCTAATACCTCTTCATTCCTAAGCTTCTCCATACACGGTATCCTCATCATTAGCCGGTAACACCACATTTCGAACGCTTCTAACCTCTTTTTTTTCGCCGCTGTAGTTTATACGACGCAAAAAAAAGTGTAGTGTATACCTACAACTGTAAACAACAAATCCTGTTTTGATGTCTAATTACACTTCTGAGTACACCAACATTGTTTCCCCATAAGTTTACTATGACGTTTAGGTGTACTACACTTTTGCATAGTGCATTATCATTCCTGATGCGAAACTATGACGCATCCATAATATGTAATATACATTGGTATAATACATCAACATATGCATAAATACTTGAACGTATTCAATACGTATAATAGGTATAGTGTATAGTTGTACCTTGGATGTCCTTACGGAAAAATGTAACTTTAAGGGACCATACCTCACAAAAATGAGTTTTATTACTTAAGGTATATTATGACTTTTAGTCAAGAACTACTATAATCCAAAGTTTCAAAGAGTTTGACAGAGTTTCCATAAGGATCTAGCAGGGTCCTTTCATGATTCTAGATCAGTGGAAAGCACCCTACAGCTTTTGATTCCCTTTTGTGTGTGTCAAAATATGCGTCATATACGGCAGTATTTTTTGATTGCGTGAAAATTTTACACGTTCCTGAGGATAAGGATCTTGACAGATAGACAGACAGAACGACAAAGAGCAAAGAAATCCTATAAGGGTTCCTTTTCTCTTTTTATAGTACGGAGAGCTGTAGGTATAGAAAACGTTTGATACTAAAATGGAAGGATTTTTCCTGGGTAGTTTGTCGTAATTTTGAACTTAAATCTGGAGAATACCTTCAAGGATTCTAGAAACAAATCGTTTTTTTTTTAATGAAAAATGGAACTTCAATTTTACTACTTATAGTATAAATGGAAACTAATTACAAGTAGGTGTTTCATACAAAACAACTACCATTACACCATTAATGTAAACGTCATCATACAAAGTGAGTGTTGGCAAAACCTTTAGAAATACACTGATAATACGGAAAACAAATAGATAACATTAACATGATCCTATTCAAATGCTTGTATATTTTTGTAGAAATTAATCCTACAGTTCGCACTACAAGGTTTTTATTACTAAAAGAATAGTGTTTGTTGATTGGTACTTATTATCAATATGAAAGTTGTATAATTTGTCTCTGTCTATTTACTGGAATCTTGGGAACCACAATTTTCAGTTCAACATTGATAATAATTAAAAATAATGTTATATACGGTTGCATTTCGTCAACTCCGTTCAGCACATCTTCATCTTCGCTTAAACAGACATTCTTCTCCTACAGGAATCAGTTAACTTCGGTCCTGAAGGGCTGCCTCAATACTTCATTAAAAAAATGTTGCTCTATTCTAAATGAGGCTATCCTCAAGCTTTTTAATCGCTCTCTAGAAGATGGTTATTTCCCTTCTTCGTGGAAATTTATCTTATATTCTCCCGATACACAAAAAAAGCAATATACAAAACATCAAAAACTATAGAACAATATCTACCCTATCCCCTCTAGGGAAGGTACTAGACCGCCGTCGCCGATCATCTTATTGACTGTTTCCTTTCTCAGATTGTTCCTGAGCAGCATGGATTTGTAAAAGGTCGTTCTATCACCACAAATCTTTTCTGTTACATCTGCCCTTACTCAATGAACCCAGATTGACTCAATCTATATTGAGTTCTCCCATGCTTTTAACTATATCAATCGTGATCGCTTACTTACTAAGCTTCGTTCTTTCGGTATTTAGGATAAATTATTGTGCTGGTTAGGAAACAAGCTGTTTAGATTTATGATTGTATATCCGATTACGGTGGGGTCACTTTAAGTATTCTCCAGGGTTTTCATCTGAGCCCGTTACTTTTTATACTGTTCATAAATGATATCGCTCGTCATTTAAACGATGTTCATCTTCTAATCTACGTTGATGATATCAAACTCTTCTCTAGCGTATCAAATAAATCCAATACACTTAACATTTAAAGTGATTTGACGCTCTACACAACTAGTCATGTGTTAATCCATTGTATATCAATTCAGCAAAAAGTTACGTATTATCGTCTTTCGCTAGAGGCTCCAACATACCTTTCCCTTTTGACTATTCTAATGGCCACTCATTTCTTAATAGGGTTAATAGAATCATGGATCTTCATATCTCCATTAGTCTTTTCAAAATACATTATTCCTGACACTAATAAAGCATTAAAAACTCTAGGGTTCATTAACCGTTCCACATCTGATTTCCAACGCTCTGCTACGTTTCGTCATCTGTTTACAACCCTGGTTCTCCTAATTTTAACCTACGGCTATATAATTTGGTCGCCTTACACTCTCTCTAATATAAACGTATTGGAGAGTATTTACCATTGATTCTTGCGTCTACCCTGCTTCAGGTCCGGGTCCCCTATGAGCTTTTTCAATTACAATAATGATGATACATATCCTGTCTATGTTATCAATAAGCTTTCGTTGGCTCATACATATCAAGACTGTCTGTTCTCATTCAAAATCGACCGTACAATGGTTCACTGTACAGAACTTAACTTATTATTCTGCCTACGTAATTTGGCTTACCCTTAGAGAAATACCACATAATTTTTTGAATTATCAGATTTCCTACCTTTCTACTTTGATTCAGCCATTCCCAGACTCACTCGTTTGTTCAGCCAGCTTCCCCCGAATTTGCGTCATGGTATTTTTAAAACTGGTCTAAAAGCCCATCTAGGGTTTGTTTGAATTATTGCCTTGTTTGCTGCCGTCGTTTTGTTCACTTTTAGTCAATACTTACAATATAGTTTTAGTATTCTTTTTTTTCAGTTTTATCATTTGTTTTGTATTGATCAATTTTTTGTAAAGAGCTACTGCTTCTTTAAACATTAAAATGAAAATAAAATAAAATACAACGGCGGGTTTATTGACGTCTAGGGGCTTTTGGGCGGTATGGTATGATTCAAAACCAAAGTCAACACCAACGAAATTACATTATTTGCTACCGAACAAAAAGCTTATACAATATGATGAGTATTTCTTAGGGACAGAACTGTACCATCGATTTTAATGACACCCTAACACTGTATGTGGAATCGAATCATACTTCTGACCGCGGGGCGGAATCGCACTCAGTCGTATTAGGGGTTTACAAATATATATAAATTCCGTTTGTTTTGTGTAGTAAACACCTTTTTTTCGAGTGTTAAATCCTTTGAAATAATCCCGACTGGAAATTAGTTAGTGGATTGGATCCAATACGGATCAGAATTGCCTGAAGATTGATCAGAAATAAATCAGGCTTTCTGATCCGGGTATGATGGAAAATCGTCACGCCATATATGATCAACATAGGATCCATTTGAAAAATCCATGTCGGATCTGTTTCTAAGATCCATGACGGATCCGTTTCTAAAATCTATGACAGATCCGTTTCAAAGATCCATTCCCATCAAAATAATAATTTGAATAAACAAACTATTTGCTAATTAGTATTAACACTACTATCTAATAATTATTATTAATGGATTATTAACTTGTTAATAATTATTATTAATTAACAATAAATTTGTTCATTGTTTGACGAACAATATTGCATACAGAATAAATCAGGTAAAAAATAAAGTTCTGTATTATGATCAAGTTCAGAACATCGGATACAATCTTGATTTAAAGATTGAACCGAAACCGTAATAGAATTTTTAGCATTAGATTGTGATAAGAAATTGGTCAGATTAAGGGATAGGATACTCTACTATGATCAATTTCTCATCTGATGGTTGGATCAACAGATAGAGTACTGTGCGCTGATCAATTTTTGATCGGATGACCAGATCAAGGAATGGAGTAGGTACTGTACTCTAATCAGAAACTGATCAGATCGGTGAATCAACTTATAGAGTACTGTACTCTGATCAGAAACTGATCAGATGGGTGGATCAACGGATATAATACTGTACTCTGATCGGAAACTGATCAGATGCCCGTATTACGGAAAATCTGATCCGCATCTGATCATAATCTGGGTTCTCTGAACTAATTTCCAGTCGGGATGTCTTATGTCATCATCAATATTAAATGTGGATTTTCCCTAATCCTTAGTTTCCATTTATACAATAAAGACATAGTTTCCTTTTCATCAAATAGCCAAATTAACCTTAAAATGGTCTTCAATATGTGTAATTTTCAATGTTACTACCTACCAGAGAATCTTGCAAAATTTGTGTTCAACATTTTCTACACAGCAGTTTCCTCTTAAATTATCAGCTCCTCCCAATTTGTACATTATATAGGTTTTATTGGAATATCAATTTATACTTATGTATTATGTATACAGTCAAAGGTTAGATGTGGAAAACAAATCGTTACGGTTGGAGGCAATTCCCTCGGATGCTATCTACACAGCAAAGAGGGAACCGAATCACGACAACCTTACGGTTAATCCCGATACATTAAAGGTACGTCTTGCTGCCATGGTTCTGCAACCGCCTGCTAGAGTATAGCCTTGCACGTTTCGTCAGGAAGACACGATATGTCAACAAACACCAAGCACAAATTCTTGACCAACATTCAATAGTGCTTTGATTGATTGATCTTGTTTAAATAGTTGCACTTGTGGCGATCTGTATTTACAATCAAACTTCTGTAACTCGAAATCTTTTTGAAACGCAAATTTTGTTTCATTGATAATTATTTGAATATTATTCTCATTACTCATTAGATCGATTTTCTGTAAGTGGAGATTAATAGGAATACGGATTTTCTAATAGAATATTATAAGATAATCATCTGGAGCTATAATCAGTGATCCAAGTTTTTATATCTGTGATGGTTAAGCATTTATTGCAACAATCAGCAACAATGTTGAATGGTTACCGGTCGTTTCTGACCCTGTTTAAAAGTATGTATTAAACAGGGTTCTTCAAACTAAGTGGTACATTAGACGTTTCAGGGAAACTAAGCAAGTTAGAAATATGAAAAATTGTCAGTAACGGTTATCAAGGATAGTCTTTAATTAATAACAAAATAATTTTAGCTGTATATTTTTCACTACGAATTTTTATGAATTACAAAATTATAAAGTATCCAGTATTGTTATGTCAAAATTAGTGAAATTATCTATTTTAGATAAAAATCCAAATTTACTGAAAAATTTTCAAATAAAACAATAGAAAACATCCATATGGATCGAAAAAGGATAAAATAAGCAATCGAATGCCAAATATGGTATTTCATGTTTGAAATTTTTAAACTTTGGTTTCATTTCTGAACGCGCTGTACAAATTATTAAGCTCAATTTTAGCAAAACGTTAAACTTAAGATAAAACTGTAACTGTTAAAAAATTTAACACCCTAAGTAAGTAACTATCTAAAATTACCCTAAAATTTTCCGTTTCAGACAAATTTGTCTATTTAAAATAGCAAAGTTGGCATCCACTTCCGGTATAACCCGAAGTGGACGGAACAATTGAAATTATTTTAGTTAAAAGGATCATTTTTGATAACCCTCACTGCCTAATTTTCAATACTCTGTTAGGTATGCTTAATTTTCCTAAATCGTCTAATGTACCGTTCAGTTTAAAGAACCCTGTATATGTGGTAATAAGATTTATGTTTTAATATTAATTTTTGAATGATTACCAATTGATTTCGGTGTCTCATTTTTTACGGTGCGATTGTAATAAGAACTCTGTTAGACTAAGCGGCTATGCGACATAACCAGCTGCTCCACCGGTCTACAAACTTGCGGGACAACCGGTGGCGCTCATTACACATTAAGTTCTACGTTAGTTTGGTAGTTCTTATCAGAAGAGCAGCATTTTTTTTTTGTAATATTAACTTTTTCAACAATAATTCAAAGAAAAACTAATTAGACATTCCCAAGTAATTAAAAAGCTTCTTGTCGTCTGAATACAGTTCAACAAAAAGAGTATAGAGTAATATTCCACAGAAAATCTTTCATTTTCTTCTGTCTTCATTTCGCCCGTCTCATCTTTCTCACCCGAACCACCACCCACCCATTCCCACGATTCCTGAAAGCAGGCTGAAGAGGGCCTTCCGCCCTACCTTCCAGCGTAGTCCGCCCACCAGCATTAGAGTGTCTAGTGGGAATGAAACACCCAAACGTTTTAGTTTTAACAGTTCACAGTAAACTTGATCACATGGTGGTCAAACTGAGTGTTGGCGAACTGACTGCGCCATCTGGCGGCTTGGTGTAATAGGCCTGGTATAATTTTTACAATACCCCGCCATGTCTCTCCGCCGGTCCACGCTGCACGTTATTAGGCATTGATAGTTATGGAGCTTATTAGATTAAGGTAGCCAAAAGTGACTGCCGCGCACAGTGACCACGTTGGAGACACGGACTGCGGAGAGTCATGGCAAGACATTGTATCATATCGAGCCTAATACACTGAGCCGCCAGGTGACGCAGCCAGTCCGGTCATTAGTGTTGCAGCAGACCTCTGATTCCGCTTCCGAAATAACAGAAGTTCCGCATACTTTTTCGCATCCACTTCTGGCTTGCCGGAACTTAACAAATTTTTATTTCTCATCTTTCTGAAAATCAATATATAAGAACAATAAAAGAAATCATCAAAATTTATTACTTTTTTATATATTTTTAAAACGTAATTTAAATGGAATTACTTGTTGGAACGTTGCATATTGGGCAGCTACCTGCGCCAGGTTTCAGCGACTCCATCGTATCATTATGAACGTAATATAATCAACCGTTTATGTTTACGAAATATTAGCAACAATACGCAGCGTTATGACCGGAAAAATATTGTTAATAAATAATAATATTGTGCCTGTGCAAATCACCAGGGGGCCTAATATAGGGCCTAAATATATTTTCTAGTATTTCGTATATTGATATTTTCCGAATTTTATTCTCTTATTGGTTCCCCACTTTAATCTAAAAACGTCACGGATTTCCAGCATCCCCTTAACAATCCTCCTTCCTAATAACATTTCGAAATACTAATACGGTTATAGTGTTTATTTTTTTGTATAGTGTTTGTTCAGTGTTGTATGTTTTAAGTTAAAAGTGCAATTTTGAATCCAAAAAGAAGACCTATTTAGAGTTATCATGTTGATATTAACGATGCAAGCGCTAAATGCAAAATCTGTAACAAAATATTCGCAAAAACTGCGCATGACCACTCCATTAAAGAGTCACCTAAAGTCATTAGACTTCTGCTTCCGCATCCGCTTCCGCAAAAATTTGAAATTTTTTCTTCTGTTCCGCTTCTGTTTCCATTATAACATTTCCGTTGCATCACTACTTGGTCATGTCGGACAGCAGAAGTAGAAGTCTTGTCTACACTTTCATTTCCACTCCTTTCCATAGTAATAACGTGTAGTTCATTGGACGTACATATGTTCACAATGAGAGTGCGAGAAACGTGAAAAACAAACTGTGCTGCTAGTGAAAACTACCGAAATACCGTCGGAACGAATAACGAGTGATTGGCTACACCACCGCTTGCTCTGCACGTTTTATCGACTAATAAGTCACCGGTGACGCAATTGGTTTCGTTGCCTGGCGGCCTAGTCTAGTAGAGGTCTTAAGAGTTATTAGTGGTAAGCTTAACAACAGTAGAATACGAAGTAGCGAGTCTTCAAAACGAATATTAAAATGTTTGACGGTAAAACAGAAATTTTCTTTAAATGGAATGTAATTGGTTCCATTTAGTAGGTTCGAATTGGGGAAGTTTGACTGTATTTCCCTTTTATGTTTTTACAAATAGCATGTTTGCATCTTCGTTTTCAGTCATTTTTCCTAATAATGTTTATTATTTATTTTTCTGTCGAAAATAAAATGATTGTAATATTGATTAAAATAGTGCCATTCTATTACAAAATTTTAAACGTACTCTGTGGAAATGTGAAATGATTATCATAATTTCTTATTTATTTATTTTTCTATAGATGCTTTTTAAGATCATTATTAAATTGTTTTATGTATACCTACTCTGTATATTATTCTGTTTTTCTTTTTTTTATGCATAGTGCTTTGTTACTTCGCAGACACCTGAAAAACAGCACGGGATGAATTTTTCATTTTTTAATATCCATAAATAATTGGTATCCATGTATGAACGATTGCCTTTTTATTAACGATTATTTTTGTAAACTGTTATTTCGGGAAATGGTTGTTATTTCTTTTTTAATTTTTTTTTAATTTAAATCTTATTCGGAATATGTAATAATAGATCAGATTGGAAAGGGATGTCCGGAAAGTGAAATAATAAATTGGTGTGATCCAAGTTTTT